TTGAACAGAAAAACAATGTAATGCAAAAATACAAGTAATTATGAAGAAATACAATAAAATCTAATTATCTTTGATTAATACCTCTTTATTAAATTACTAATATCGGGGTTAAGCATTGTCATTGGTTGATTGAAGTTAAATAAGTATGGTGTTTAGGAATTCGTATAAATTACAATAAGTTACTAATGATGCTTGCAAAATAAAAGACATGATATACAAATATTAGGCATTATATTATATGTAAAGGTTGGAATTTTAGTTGGACAAATAGAACTTACACAACATTATATAGCACTAGAAAATAATTGGTCTGTTTTTACATGCATTGACCCATATGATAGCTACGAATAAAGACAGTGCTATTCTTTTGACTAATCACATTTAGGTCAACAAATCTGAATCTATGGGTCATTTATCTCTTCTTGATCTCTTTTATATAGGAAACTGCACGATAACAGTAAATGGTACATGTTAGTAAAAGTGTAAATGATACATTAGTACTCGTAAGCTATTCGGGTTCGATTCAAAAAAAATTCGAATTCGGTTCGATTATTATCGAATCGAGCTCGAGCTCGAGTAGCTCGACTTATTGATCGAGTCGAATTTGAGTATTCTTATATTCGGCTCGAGTAGCTCGTGAGCCTAATCGAGTTTTTATATTTAAATATATTTTTATTATTTTAATTAATAAAATATTTCGAGTTCGAGCATAAATAATCAAACTTTTATTGAGTATATGAATCGAGCTTATTTTTACATATTAATCGAGCTTAATCGAGCGAGCTCGAGTAGCTCGAATTCGATCACAAATCGAGCTCGAGCTTGAAAAATAAAACTCGATCGAGTTCGAGCCGAGTATCGAGCCCCGAGTTGTGAGTTGAGCTTAAGCTCGAACTTCTCACTGTATCGACTCGACTCGACTCGATTACACCCATACCTGTTAGTAATACATCATAATATAGAATAATATATATTGACTTTGAATATTTAAATTAATTGATAAGCTAATCTCATATAAGCAATAATATCAGAAGCTGATATTTAATCCAGGGTATAAAATGCCTTAATCTGAAGCTCTCTATGTAAGAAATGGATGGATGATCAAATAACTTATTTTCGGACTTAACGATAATGACATTTCTTTTAAATAAATGATCAAATGCATAACTAGATAACGTATCAATAGCAGCCTCAGCAGGGTTCATCTTCTAAATTCCAACATCTTGTTACAATATATAATGAAATATAAGTATTAAAACTAAATCAATAAATATAAAATACAAATAAATATTAAGTAAATAAACAAAATAAAAATAATGATTATTATCGGTGTTTGGGTTTGTCGCAAGACTTGATTCGTAAAAGCTTGCCTCTGCTAATGTCGGTAACTGACTACCCTCAAGGCATTTTAGGCTGCATTGCTACTAACATTACCTCTATAGCTGCGAGTAGTTATTATTGATCATTAAGACATTGCTCTTGCTCATCAAGTCTTTGTTGTTATTGTTGAATGATTGCTTCATATTCTATATTTTTCATTAGATGGGGTTTAGGTTGATTACTGAAGAACTTTGATGGCAACGCAAATCTACCAATCCCATGAACTCTACCATGCTTTTCTTTCAATCCTAATACTAAAGACAATGGATATTCACCATAACCGATTGGCAATTCACCATATTCAAATTTAGCAGCAAATTCATCCTAAAACACAATAAGATGGTGTGTACCATAACCAAGTTATACAATATATAGTCATCCATTCAAGCACAAAGCCAATCATACGAGATAAATTAATCAATTATACATACAATCTTTTTAGCCATTTTTTCGATTGCTTCATTTGAAAATGATTCATCTTTTTGTATATATCCTTGTTTTCACACATCCTATCTAAGAACTTCGATTCCAAAACTAGATGATTCTTGATAAATTAAGGCGATATAAGAATCAAAATCTATTAATCGAAAGTTTATAAATATTCATATATAAGTATAAAACAAGCGTGTAAATACTTATAAGAACATGCTTGACATTTGCATTACCCTTTCTTAATGTTCGATGGTGATATACTTGTTTGGCACAGATGGTCTTTTGTTATTTTTTTATTTAAAAAAAAAGATAAATCACATATTAAGATATTGAATAATTACATAAAATATTACAAACACTTAACAAAATGGGTATGCATATCGAGAATTCTTCTAATAGACAATCTCAAACAAAATGTGTTCATACTTGATAACTAATAACATCTATATATGACAATGGAGGATCAACTAATAAATCACTATTATCAGTGAACGGTAAAATATATTGAGTTTTCAATCTACTCTTAAAGTCTTTGAATGCTTTTCTAGCCGATTACAACATAAGCTTTTTATACTTATTTGGGATGTCATACCATTCCTAATAAATTTAAAACAATTAGTATGAATACATTATTTCAATTAAATTTCCAACCAGAAACAAATTTTTGGATATTGTTGAATAAACATATCATAATTGACTCCCATATATGATCTTTTTTATCATAAAAAACTCATTGCTAATTATGGTACGTAATAGAAATACTATTATGAACGACCTCTCCAATATGACTAGCCAACTTGGCAACTCCATCCGACATAGGATGCCCACTATGATTGAAGTCGACGTGAATTTTTGTGTCACTCACTTTAATTTATTTACCATGTCCCTTTACTTTTTTTTTTCACTACAGGTGTATCATCTTCATGTTTTATATGTTTTTCAGATTCTATAATACTTGCAATTTTGATTATAATTATACGAAATACACCAAATTGGCTCTTTAAATATCACATAGTAAAAAACAACCAATATCCACTATAGTTACTATACCAATATACATAAAACATCCTACATCTAATAATATTTTATAGGTACAAGCCATACTGTGATTCTCACCTTAAATAAGAGTTTCATGCAAAACAAATAATGAGTACAAATATAACAACTAATTTTCACAAAACTATTCAGTAAGCCACAATACTTAAATCAATCAATAAAAAAATACTATGCATGCAATGAAGGGCGGTTGGGTGATGTAGTTGATAGTAAATTATGCATAAAACACAAAATATATATAGTAAGGAAAGAAAAAAAATACTTACATCGAACCAAAAAAATAGTACAAAAAAAGCATAAAATTAACACATACGGGTAAAAAAGAGGTGCGACGACGTTGAATGGTTGACGGTCGACCGCAATGAGAGAGATGACAAACCAAAAAGCAAACTAAATGGTTTTATGGTTTAAGGGTTTATAAGTAATGCAGCTTTTTATCATTAACTATATTAGCTGTTTGGTTTTTCAAGGTTCAAGCATAAAGAATGAACCTTTAAAAATGATCATTTAAGGCATTTATCTACATAAATGTCTTAAATAATCAATTTATATTTTTAATAAAATGATTATTTAAGGCATTTGCACATGAAAAATGCCTTGAATAATCTTTTATATTTTTTTAAAATAAATTATTTAAGGCATTTTTCAACAAAAAATGCATTAAATAATCTCTTTATTTTTTTAAAGGGTTGAAAACTACCTTAAATAATCCCTTTTATAAAAAATTAAAGGGGGATTATTTAGAGCATTTTTAGGTTCAAAAATGTTTTAAATAATCTCTTGATATTTTTTAAAGATGATTATTTAAGGCGTTTTTGAACCCTTTAAATTAAAAACACCTTAAATAATCTCTTTTTTTAAAAAATGAAAGGGATTATTTAATGTGCTTTCTAACTAAAAATGCTTTAAATAATCCCCTGATATTTTTTAAAATGAATTATTTAAGGCATTTTTGAACAAAAATACCTTAAATAATCTCATTTTAAAAAAGGAAAAAAAGGATTATTTAAAGCGTTTTCTAACCAAAAACACATTAAATAATCTCTTAAAATTTTTTATTTAAGGGAAGATTATTTAAGATATTTTTAGTTAAAAAACTCTTTAAATATTCTCCTTTAAAAAAATGAAATAGATTATTTAAGGCTTTTGGTTCAAAAATACCTTAAATAATCTTTTGATATTTAAAAAAAAATTATTTAAGGTATTTTTGTTCAAAAATACCTTAAATAATCTTTTCATACTTTTAAGGGAATTATTTAAGGTTTTTCCCAATCAAATATTGGTGTTTCCCAACCATAAACATCTTAAATAATTTCTAACATTTATTTATTGATTATATTTTATAAATAAAAACAACAATCAAATAAGATATTTATCTTTTTTTTTTTCTAAAAGCATGATTTATCGTTTTAGGTATTTATTATTAATAAAAGCTAATGAAAAGTTATCATCATATATTAAAAAGATTATGATAATTATTTAAGAATTAATATACGTGAGTTCTTCTCAATCAAACGAATAAATCTGAATACGAAATATTTTAAAAATGAAAAAAAAATCAAGATATTGCACTTTCATAAAAATCACACTTTTACTTTAAATTTAAAATTTTACGAACTAAATACCTTAAATTATTTTTTTTATTATATTGGTTAACTCAAATACATTAATTACAATTAATTAAAATTCTAAACAATCTCAGAAAACAAAATAGTTCAATTAACCTAAAAATTTAGATAAAAAACCTCAATTAACTTCAAATCATATTTTATATCAAATTTTAATTGGTTTTTAATAGATATATGGAGAGAAATATAATATACTGTATAGATCTTATTTTAAAGAAAAAATGTAAAAAAAAAAAAAGACTCGAAGTTCGAGGTTAGTGGACGGTGGACGCTGAATGATGATTTCAGCGCCTGCTGTCTTAGGTCCCACAAACCTTATTCACCGATCTGACATTGTTGGACAAACCTTCCGCCTAGAATATCGGTTTGTCTGATAATTACACACCTAAATCAAACACTCTACAGGAATGAAAGCATCATCCTTTATTTCACCAAAAAAAAAAATCTATTTTTACAATTTTTTTCAACAAATTTGGTATACAAAATTTAATACCCAAATTACAAAATCTTCTGAAAAATTTTAAGAAAAAACTAATAAATTACAAGAACAAAACGTGGAAAGAAAGAAAAAAAATTAGCAGTGAAACCCTAACACAGACCCATCACTCACAGCAATGGTGACTATACACCCAAATTTAGCATCCACATGATGGGTGAAGAAATGTAGAACCCTAACCCGACCCACCATCTCCATCCGAGACTCGATATCCATCGTCGGCCCAACTCGATACCCATTGTTACTCCCGCCAAACCCATCAATCAGCCCAATGGGCCCCGTCGTCGTCGTAGTAGCAGTAGTAGCTACGGTTGCCGCCAAGGGGAAAGACTGAACGGCGAAAGTGGCAGCCATGTACTGAGTCCGATCCGCCTCAATCTTTCCAGCGGGTATGAACATGAATCCGACTTGAGAACCCGAGTAAAGCAGCTGGATGGTGCTGCCGAAGTGAGAGAAAGCAGCTCGGTTAGGGTTTTTAACGGTAATGTATTGGGAGAAAGTGAAGCTGACGGAGTTGTTACCAACGGAGAAAGACGGAAGCTGGAAGGCGCTAACGGAGATCTTAGGGTCTTTAGGTTTAAAAATGGTTAAGTAAACAATGAGAACTATTATTACAACGAAGATCAAGAAAATTGTTGCTACAAGACATGAAGCTAGATTTGGACGGCCAGATGGAGGCCTTTGACGTTTCACCATTTTTGGGCGGGTTTTGGTAAATAATGTATTTATTTCGGTTTAACTGTCTTCTTGGATGTTATATAAAAACAGCTAGGAAAGGGATGAAAAAAAAAAAAAAGGATTCTTGGAGAGAAGGGAGTGTTTGGATATGGGGAAGAGCTTCGGGGAGGGAAAGTGGTGCAAGTGATGTGGAAGTGAAGACTTTTGTTGGGTTTTTTTTTTTTTTTTTTTAATTTCTTGGTTGGTTGTTTTCATTTAAGGAGTGTTGTTTTTTAATGGGGTGGGGTTTTTTTTTTTTTTTTTTGGAGTTTTTGTTGGATGTTTTCAAAGCATAGATTTTTGGCTTTTGATGGTTTGGGGGAGGAATCAAGATCAACCAAAAGAAGAGTGGGAAAAAGTGGATAATTAAGAAAAAAAACAAAAGAAGAAAAAGAAAAGACTAAGAAGAAGAAGAAGAAGAAAATGTGGGGTCTGTGAGTTTTAAGAGGTGGTGAATGTTTGTGTGAGATAAAAATGGATGAGATGAGGGCAGGAGGTTGCTGATGAAATTTCCCATTTCTGCTCTTTCTCTTTTTGATTATGGGTTAGATTTTCTATTTTAGAAATTCAGATTTTGCATGGCTGTTGTTGTAAGAGTAGTACTTAAAGTTATAACATTTCTTTTTCCATTTACTTTCCAAAAGAAATAGACTTAAGAATTTCCAAAAGAAAATGTTTTTGTAAGGTTAGGATTGTTTAAACAGAATTGAGATAATAATGAAGTATTCATTCATTCTGTTAAAAAGATGCATTTTTCATTCTTACTAATATTTGAAGTTCTGAGTTCAAGTTTAGAAATGAAAAAGAGTTAAAAGCTTACTACTGTCCTCTTTTACATATCAGTCAAAAAGAAAAATCTAGATTCCTTTTCACATGCTCACCGGTTTTATTTTGTCAACAGCAAAAACTAGATTGTTTCCAAGTTGGAGTGAAAAAAGGTGAGAAAGTGGAAACTGAAGTTGACCCTTTGGTACCCTTCTCCTGTGAAAAACAGTTTCACGGCACTTGGCAGTGGCAGATGAGGGGGAGGAAATTGCCAAACCTGAAATAGTTGAGATGCCCAGTGGATGCTCCAATAAAGCATTAATCAATGATGGATTGATGGAGCATCCGACCACCAGCTACTTGGGAGTCTATCACCAGGGAAACAATCAACTTTAAACCTGCAGTAACAGTAACAGATGATCATCAAATACCTGAATTTTCTTCTTTTACCACTCTTGTATAACTTTGATTTTAGTTTGCTAGTGCTTCCTTCCAAAAGAAAACTGAAAAATGCTGATTACTTATTATTGGTCTCGAGGGAATATGGGAAGGGCCGGCCAGCTTCGTTGTCTATTCAGTATAGGCTCACCCATTATTCCGGAAAATGGACGAGGCTGATTTGGCCCATTATTAGTTACCTTTCAAAACCCTGGGCAAAAAGTCCACAAAATACTCAATCAAGACGGGAAATTTTAGTTTAGAAATTTTCAATGCAACTCCTTGGCCACGGTTAAAATTACCCTCGTAATTAAGGTTTTAACAAGTTAAATCAGTTGACATGTCATTTAAGTTAACACTTAAAAATTACGAGTTTGATAAAGTTTATGGGCATAATATCATCTTTGATAAAGTAATAGAGTAAGAGAGATTTAATGAAAGATTAAGAATTTAAAAAAAAAAAATTAATAATACACGAAGGCAACGAATACTTATATAATAAAACAGTTGCAACATAGTGAATAATCTATAATAATAGTCCCTTAACAATGCTGAACAATTATTCATTAACATGGACTCTGCTCAATGTTACACACCTTCAAACCTAAATTTCAGATCAGAGACACTATGTACAAGTTTTATAGCTCTTTTTGAAGTAGAATCTTAGCAGAATTCATATTACTCTGTAGCTTTGACTCTGTTCAAAATAACGATACATGATCAAGTAACAACTAGATGGAGAAAAGAAGGTAGAAAAACGAAAGCTTCAGGCTTATGTAAAAGAAGATAAGCCATCTGCATTCGCATAATTTGCGGTCCAAACTAAAATGGACTCATCATTAAGTGAATACGTACAAATATGTACCATGAACTAAGTTATTGTCAATTTATGAGCTTGTCTAGCCAAGAATCCATGACTTGATAGACAGTTTCAATGAATGCAACTTCACTCATGCCTGGGAGTAGGGCATCCTGAGCTTCACGAACAATCTGCTCAAGCACAGATTCCCTATTCACAGTTTCTCTACACATGATGCTTCCAATGGTGAAGGGAGTGAGACCTCGCTCAACCCCTTTTTTCAAAAGCATGGTGGAGATACGGAGAGTGCGAGCGCACTCAACAGGAACATCCCACCCATAAAATTTCAGAAGTGCAATATCTTGTTCAGCATCCAGTGATTTTATATAGTCAATGGTGTCTGCAGAGTAAGGCTGCCGTGATTGTGGCCAGTAAAGCCAATCAAATGTGCAATCCTCAAACTGTAAATACAGCAATAAAGAAAGTAGTTCAGAAAATGATCTGTTTCTCCTTTTCTTAAGATGGTAGTATGTCATCAATCCGTACAATTTTGCTTGTGTTAGATAAAGAACAAAAACCCCCCCTATGATGATGCCATGCATTAAATATCCCAAAAACAGTAGTAGTGAGAGAGGATCATGAAATAGATACATTAACCGCACCCTTTAGTGCATATATAGACATCAAGGCAGCATGAACACAAGATGTTATATTTCATCTGAGAGTGTTACTTTTACTTTTTTTTTTTTTTCCCAAATAAATTTCTAGGATTTCAAAAAGATTCACACAACTAAACACCTGTTACCTAATAATACATGTAACTTTTTTATAGGTTACTATCATACATGCTAATTATAACTTTTCAGTAACATTTAATGAAGGAACTGAGACGGATATTGGATATTGCTCCTAACAATAATTCAACCTAAATCAAACTGGAATCCGACTTTAGAGCCTCCAATGCTTATTTGCCACCTGTTGATCTTAACTTTGAGTGAAAGAAATTACTGCAACTAAGCTAACCTATGTTTTCAAATTTCAACTAGATGATAACAGACTGATTTTCAAGTCAGAATTTCCATATACGAGGGGAATATATGTGCAAAAAATTGAAGGAAAAATATTGACCCTTAACGATAAAACATGGCATTATTAGAATGATAAAACTACACTTACATTCTCAGGCAGGCAGTAGCCATGATCAATTGGAATAAGCTTGGTCTGGCCATTTTCCCCTTTGCCAATCAAGATATTCCCTGCATGTCTATCAGCATTTGCCATTCTTATATCAAACACGCTGATCTTGTGTACTTCCTCCAGAGGGAAACCTCCGGGACCCATGTCCTCACAACTCCCAGAGTTCTTCATAAACATCTGCAAGGATCCAACCTTAACATTCTCGGGTGCACATTCATACCCATCTGGATGGTTAAATCCTTTGTGCAAGCACCGAACCATACAAGTAGGTGGCACACCAGCAAACCCCATCATCTCAGTACCAGAGAAAGATCGAGGTCCACTCTTGGGATGATCCAATATATAAGCAGCCACTTCTCTCACTGCTCCTTCTCCAACCCTTGTACCCTTTTTCAAGCCTTCACCATTTGTTGATACAGGCAACCCCTGTGGATTGTTCACAGCCATTGGCTCCTCATCAATCGGCTTAAATATGGAAACATAATCAAGCCCCAATTTATCTTGCATAAAATAAGCCCCCCCAGTCCCTTCAGACGATCTAATTGGCTGATTCCCTATCTCCAATCCGTAAAATGTCGAATGTATCATATCCCACATAAAAGAAGGCAATTTCACCTTAGGATTAACAAAAACAGGTTCCAACCAGAAATCTCTAACAATTGGCTCCTTTGTCGCAATCTCAAGGCCCTTGGATTGGTTTTTTTCTCCTCCTAGACTACCTCTCCTCTCATCTAAACCACTCTCAGCCACAACCGAAAGTTCCAAATCTTTCTCAATAGGCTTAGCTCGAACTTTGGCTGATTTCTGAACCACCAAATGAATCACAGCATCATTATCTTTGCATAGATCATCAATTAGCCTTTGGTCATCGACTTTTTCTCCATTACAAAATATTTCTTGTTCATCAACATCCACAAAACCCTTTCCTTCTCTAACTATCCTTTGTTTCAAATACCCAACATTTCTATACCTATCAACATGCAATTCAAATTCCTTCCCGCAAGTTGTCTGTACAGTGATAAACAAAAGATCGGAAAGCTTTAAAACTAAGTGCAAAACATTCCCACCTTTCACGCCATAATCTTTAACAAGCGAATCGTTACGAGCCAATTCTCTGCCTCCGAAAACAAGCTTCTGCTTCTTCACTACAAACCCTTTACATGTCTGGATCCGAAGCTTTACGGAGGCTATGGAGTCTGACTCCAAAACCCGCATTGGAATCACCGAATCGGCAACCGAAAGGTAAATCAAGATCGACTCACCCGGCCGTTGGTTATTGCAATAACGACGAGAGTGAACCGCTTCTTGACAAACAGGACTCAAAGCAACATCGGCAACAGACATTTCTGCAAATGTTGTTTGTCTCTCCTTCTTTTTGGTAAATAAATTAAGAAAACAAGGCTTTGTTTTTTGTTGGCTAACTCAAAAACAAGAACGAAGAATGAAGAAAGAAAATGAAAAAAAGAGATCAAAATTTTCTTTGTTTCAATCTCAGCAATGATAGTCAAAGGGACTGGCACATAGCTGCAAATCTTTGTTTTTTTGTGTTCTATTGCAAAGGGTGAAATTCTAAACTTGGTCAGGAGAGGCAGTGGATTCTTTTCGAAAAGAATCGAAAGAGAATGTTCAGAAATGAGAGCTTTTTAAATTGAACAACGAAACAACAAAAACCGTGGAGGTGGCGATCCAAACTACCCGGTTAATTTACACTACTCGTCATTTTTTTCTTTTCCGATATTGGTGCTTTTTCCGTTTCTAATTTGCGCGATCTTTTCGCCGATTTTCTCTGCTCCGGCGCAAAAAGGGTTGTCGTCGACGATAAGAGAGAGAAGAGAAAGAGGAGGAGGAGGAACGGTAATGTAGCCGTTGGCTTTATATAAGCTTTGACTCAACTTCGAAGAACTAACGAGGGGACGCGTTTTAAATTTAAAACCACGCCGTTAGACTGTCAGTAACGGTCGTTTGGGGAAGCACAGTATACTGAAGGCAAGGAGGTGTTGAGTTTACCGAAATGACATTGAGAGGTAAGTTCCTTGGTAGTTAAATAGAGTGTGGAAATAAATATCCCATAAATTATCAAAGCGTAAGCTGGGTATTTGATGGGTTTAACTATGATAAGGGGGTTTACTAGCTGGAAATGGAAAAATTTTTGAAGATGTTACCACTAATAATATTAATATTACTAATCGAAGAACAATCGCAAGTTTTTTTTAGCTATAGGCATTGTAATCAGTGATTAAGGGCAATTCAGTCACTCTGAGTCTGAAGAACAATCAACACGTCAATAAACTAACGGAAAATTGACGTGGAGGTTGGAAAAATAAACGGAAAGTGTAGATTGCATGTTGCCTCTGTACACTATGAAGTAGATTATCTTTGCCTCTAAAATATCTCTTTTTCTTTTATGTAATATTTTTAGAGTTGATTAACTTTAATTTGCCTCTGGAATAATTTAGTATCTTGTTTAATACTTTAATTTAAGAGTTGTAATGCATCAATGATGAATTTCTGTTTGGTACAATCACACACGTGTATGGCTGTTAAAAGCTGAGACAAAAGTTTATCCTCTAATCAAAAGAATCAAAACATAATTAATTAATAATGATTGCTTCGCCGTCTAGCATCCCCTATCAAGCTCCCCGCTCCTTTCGTTGGTTTGTGTGCTCTAATGAAGCTTTCGGTGCAAGGTGCCTAGTTCGTTGCCGTTGCACTCGAAATGGGTCCCAAATCCTGCTTACAAATCTGTAAGACTGCTCACTTTCTTTTATCGTTTAATGCATCATTCTGTCTCCAACTAACACAACTTCCAACAAAGGACCTGTGTCTTTGTCCCTCACACCTCGATTTGTTCATTTTGAAAACAATTTTAAAGTCATTTTTTAATGATTTATTTTGACGATGATAAAATTAATTTTAATAAAATTAAAAATAATAATGAAATTGAAATTAATTTTATAATAATAAAATTAAAATTAATGATAATAATAATATATATTTGAATATAAATATAATAATAATAATGAAATGAATTATAATAAAATAAAAAATAATTATTAAAGATATTAATTTAAAATTCATATATATACAAATCTTAAATTATTTAATTATAAAATTAATAAATAAAAAATAAAATAAAAATATTTTTATGATAAATAATAATTTTGTTAATAAAAATAATAATAATTATTATATATTAAATACTATTTTTATTATATTGAATTATAAATTATTTTATAATTAAAAAAAAAAGAGAATAAATCAAATTAAAAAGATAAAAAACTAAAACAAAAATAAAAATCAATTATGTGTTTATTAGCTGGACCTAAAATCTTCAATTAAAATAAAATTATTTTCGCATCTAGATTATCCATCCAAATGGACGTTCGGTACGTTCAACATAGTTTTTCATAAAAAACACCGGCCAACTGGAGGTACTATTGAAACCGAAGGCAGCCTAAGCCAGCCAGGTTTCAATTGGCAAACCCCCTCGTATTCTCCTTTTACAAATATCTCCTTTTAATTTACAATGAGAAATCGTGGAAATGATATATTCAAACGATTTTATTGATAAAATGTTAAAATTTTAAATTAATTATTCAAATCTATTTTTTTTATTAATAATTGTATAATTTATTTATAAAATATTAAAAATTTAATATCCGACAACTTTAATTACAAATAAATCTTATAAATGTTAATAATTACACATTTTAATGGTTTAAAATGAAATTAGACTATTCTTTTCTCTCCTTTATGTTTTCTAACAAAAATCAATCTCTCAATCAATTGGAATTTTAAAATTAAAAAAAAATAGGGTACATTTATCTGTTTAGTATAATATACCAATTCCACCAATCCTGTATGATTGAGAGAAACGATAAATTAGATTAGTTAAAAAGTTTGAAGAATGAAGCTTCAATTAATCAAAAGAGAAGAGGCAGGCAAGGTAGCAACACTTTTTAAAGTAATTGGAGGAGTTGTTGAGTTTGCCATGAACTTAATGATGTGTCCACAAGCTGTGTGTTATGCCTTTGAGCTAGCAAAGCTGAGATGGTGGCAACCGGCAAGGAAGGTTCATCAAACGAATTGGTTTAAGTGCATGTACCCTAAGAGAATTCCAATGTGATGAGATAGCTTTTTTAAACTATATTTATAAAAAGGGAGATGAGAAATAAAAGAAGGCAGTAGCTGCTCATAACATAGGAAACTGCATTATGATTCATCATGAATTATTATGGAGAAAAGTGGGCCCTCTGATCTTTTGCAGTGCTCTCTTTAATGGCTACATTATTTGAGATCAAATGGTAGATTAAAAAAATGAAGGTTTAATTTAAAGTTGATGCAGGCAATACCATTACCATAGCTGGAAAACTGCTTTTAAGGACACATTATTATTATTCTTTGAGGTCCCACAACCCATAAGTTGAGGCATCCAAAATAATCGATCCACTAATTTAGGATAAATCACTAATTCTTGTTTTAAAATAGTAGAGAAGACAAGTGCATTAAATTAGCTACCGTGTCAATTTTTTTTATATAAAAATTTTTTAACTACATATAAAAAAATTAAAAATATTTAAAGTGAAAAGCTTAGATTTATTAAAAGAAGCATTGTAAAAATAATTATATAAATTAATTAAATTAAATTAAAAACAAAATTGATCAATAAATTAATATTTGTTATATCAACCAGTTTCTTTTGTGGGGGTATATATTCGATACAAGTAGTTATCATTAATTTAGCTAATAAGATTTCACGTTTACAATCATCCATTTTTTTTTTTAACCAAAAGAAATCGTGAAATTATAATTTGGATAATTTAGGGATCGTTTGCTATTGTTGTGAGTTTTATATTTTTAAAAATTTTGTATTTTTTTTATTTTTATTTTATTAAAATTAAAAACACGTTTGAAAATTATATTTTTATTGGAGAAACACTAAACAAATGATCACAATGAGAAATGATTGAGCACATGTTTTACTGATTGCAAGGGTTTGAATTCAAGTTTGATAGCTTTTATGATCATCTTTTAATATTTTGTTATTAAAATTAATATTGTTTACTCATGGTTACTATTCACCTATATAGTAATAGTGAATGAAATATTTTTAAAATATTAAAAATATCATTTTTTTTACTATTAACAATTTCTGAAACTTTGTTTTTAATTTTTAATTTTTAAAACAAAAACAACCTATCAAATATAATTTTGTTTTTAATTTTCAAAAAATTTAAAAACAAAAATATCTCCAAACCATCCCTTAATTGTTTTGCAAACTCACTTTAGAAAAAATATAGAGAAAATGCTGAAGTTTTTTTTTTTTTTTTTTATCTTAAGACATTGCTTCAAGTAAAATACTTATACTTAAAATGATGAAAAAACACTTTATGGAAATATAATTTTGCATTTAAGATTTGAAAAATGTGTTAAGAGATTTTTTTTTCATAATTCTTAAATAAGACAAAAAAAATTAAAAAGTTAAAATTCAATCCTTACTACTATTAGCCTATCAGGGTGCCCTTTTTTTTTAATTAAAGCAGGTAAGAGTAGGTTTTTGGGTGAGAGTAGTTACTAGTTATTAGTTAGATTTATTTATCCAAATCTAACCCTGCCCACGGTCGGTCGGATTAAAGAAACCTTAAAGCCACCGCCCAGACACAGTTACATTTTGGATTTTTTTAGCCTTGTGGACGAAGACAAACTTAGATATTTTAAACACGTGTCGATCTGACAAAACATCAAATGGTGCTCACGTAAAGCCGTTGTTCCTGTTAAGCACGGCAAAGCTGTCGTGCAGGTGGCGCTTTCTGAGAGCATCTGACACGTAAATTTGATTCTTTTGGGATTTGGACTACTGATTATGAAATAGTATATTTCCTTTTAGCTCTTTTTAATGCAAATTCTTATTGAAATACTTGTAATAATAAATTACTTCAAAAACAAATAAGAAGGGCTTGATGTTATGCTGGATGGAATTTCAAGCATCGCGGGTCAGAGTCCAAAATCCAAAAAACCTCACGAATTTTGATGCACATTGATTTCGAACAATGGTCCAAAGCTTTCCACAGCAGGGGCCTGGGCTTCAACAGATCCTATGCTCATTAATGGAAGCAAGAGTTTTAGGACTTCAGCTCAATCTCCGCCTGCACTTTGACTTAGGATTTAGATTTCACGAGGTTAGAGATTTATTTAAATAGATGATGAGATTAGTTTTAATAAGATTAAAAAAAATAATAATGATAAAATTAATTTTTATACTAATAAAATTAAATATTATAATAATAAAATTAAAATTAATGATACGATATTTATTTAAATAATAAAATAATGATGACGATAAGATAAAAATAAAAAATTATAATTAAAGATTTTATTTTAAAAATTTATTGATAAATTATTTATATATTTTAATATTGCTTATAACATTAAATAATCTTAAATTTTTAATTTTATCAAAACAATAATACATATTATTTATATAATAATAAAATTTATTTATATTAAATTAATAAAGTTATTTTAAAATTTATAAATAAAAAAATAAAGGTCAAATGGCATGAAAATCCTTATAACATTAAGGGCAAAATAGGAAGAGAAACAAAAAAGTAATGTGCAAATTGGAACAAAAGCTACGGTGAGAATGAAAAATTTTCAACTGAAGTTTTTACCTCCAGAGGATAAACGTAGGTCATCGCGCCACACTGGTGTCATCCAAACACCTTACCAATGCTATTTGCACCAAAAAAGGGGAGTAATCGCACTGAAGCGGAAGTGCGGTGACTTCCAAATGAGCCTTAGAAATGTTGTTGTCTTGTGGTGATGGTCTTTTCGCATATTCAACTTACTTCTCTTACCCGCCAATTTCTAACCAACCCTTTTACTTCTCTTTCTCTCTTTAAATTGAACCAACAAAGCCGATCAAAATTTATAAAA